CTCATTATTCTATGTGTTAAACAAGATTATATGAATCGCAACTTTACAGGTGTAATTATGTATTAATTAGTCACTAGCTTACTAGATGACCAATCTGTTACATTTTTTTTTCCTATCTGGAAGTGATAACGAAAGAGACCTAGTCATCAACACGAAACAATACGTGTTTTTTTTTTTTTTTTTTTTTTTTGAAAACGACGAAACAATACGCGTTATCGACCAATATCAAGCAAAAGTTGCCACGATTTCTTTTATTTCTTCCCAAAATTATCAATGAAACTCTTCAAAAGTAACCATGCAGTTGCGATAACTAGTCGTATAATTTTAACTTGCAGCCCCAATTTAGTTCATCGATCGAGACCATTTCAATGTCGGTTGAAGTATCTTTATCTTTTATAAACTAAGAAATTAATAATGGATATATAGGGGGATGTGCCTTTAGTCAAGTGGTTAAGTCCACTTGACTCCGTCTTCTCCACCGGAGTTCGACTCCAGTAAGTCGCGTTACCCCGCGTAGTAAGGATTGGCTATGGATCGGGCCTTGTCGATCCAAAGATGTCAAAAAAAAAAATAATAATAATAATAATGGATATATAGTGTAAAAATAAAATTTGACTTTGTTTTTTTATGTCAACAAATATAATTTGATTATTATAAAGTATATTCGGGATTCAATGCTAAACAAAATCAGGAAAACCATCAGTACACAATAATTATTCTGGAGCAGAAGAATTTTGCTGACTAACACAATCTAAGCAAGAAAATTTAAGAACAAATTTATAATAGATCGAACTAGGCCTGAGATTTATATCCGTTATCCGCGGATATTCGTATCCGTATCCAGTTTTTGATCCGAAAAAACGGATATCCGGCCAAACGGATACGGATACGGATAGTAAAATGACGGATATCCCGGATACGGATACGGATACTCCTAAAATTTGGGCCGGATAACGGATATTCGGCAAAAAAAACTTGTAAGCCCAACTTTTTTAATTGTTTTTATTTTATTTTCAATGTTAATAAATAAATCATATGACAAAAATAAAAATAAATTTCTAAGAAGAATTTAAAAAATTATTTAATGTCTCTTTTTTAAAAAAACATCACTTGAATCTTTTAAACTTTTTGCTACTTTAATAAATTCTTTGTTTTTGTAATGTTTTGTATATATAATCAACTTCTACCTATTTTATGAAATTTTTAAGCTTTTTTATGTATGATATTAATGAATTCAGTATTTTAAAACACTATTTCCGGATATTCGCGGATATCCGGATTTTTAACGAATATCCGGATACCGGATATCCGGAATTTCCGGATCCGGATACGGATATCTTAAAAAAACTGGATATCCGCTCCGTTTACAGGCCTGGATCAAACAACCAATTTGTCCATTTTTATCCATAGAACAAGTGATTAAACTGATAACAATTTATTAAAATCTTTTCTTCGTTCTATAAACGATACATAGAATAGTTTACTTGGAATGACACATATTATGTAGGAAAATAATTAATTTCATGTAGGATTTTGTTTACATGTGTTTTCTTTTTTTTGGATTTGAAACGATTGGATGAAAATTGTTCCCATCGTATTCATCTAATCACGGTCGTTGGATGAAACCCACAATTTTTGATGCGGTATTTTAATTGAACAACAAATAAAAAAACATTTAGAGAAATTTATTAGATTGGAAGAAACAACCCTCGATCTTCTATCTTGATCTCCCATAAGAAATCCTAATTAAACCATGTAACTTGGATCCTACGCAACTCAAGTTTCCCTTTTGGTAGGCATTGCTCTGAAACCCCCATATATATATTTACTCTTGCTCATTATATCTTTCATATTTCAACATTCACTGAAACTACGAAAAAGTTATAAGAGTAACTAAGTAAGGATTTCGAAGGAGAATCTGACTTATGTGACTTGACTACTGCTGCAATTAAGGCTACTTACAACACACGGAACCCATGCGAAGTCGAGCGAATGAGCGATGCATCGATAAGTTGAATCACTTGAAGTCTCTGTCTCTTTCCGTGAAGGATATACAATTTTCTGAATCAATAGCTAAGCTCGAGACTTTGAGAAGGCATAGGAGGAACTCTAATCTGTAAGGAAGCTCAAGCCTTGTTTCATTCATGGTTGAAGACAATCTACGCACAAGGAAGCGACAACTCTTTCAAAGCTGATCATCTGAAGATGAAGAAGCATGTTCTAACAAGGTGTTCGGAGTTGAAGAAGAAAGAAGTACAGAGATCTATGGCTCGTGAAGTCACTGCCTTTTTGGTGTCGAAGAATCAAGAAGAGGAGACATCTCAGACTCTTAAGCGGTAGAGATAAAGAAAACGATTAAACTTTCAGAGTTGAATAAAAATGAAGATCAGAGATCATTGACTCGTCAAATAGAGAAGATTAAGAAAGAAGCAATGAACGACTTGTGAACGACTTTTTGCCGTCACAAGTCACGAATATCTCTTACTAATAAAAGAAGTTCATTGAGGCTTCTCAATCTATCTACAAGAGCTTATTTAAGCTTTCTTTTAATCATACCACGTCAGCAATTAGGGATCCAAATAAATGTGGCCACGTTACATTTTTTCAAATTATTTCTTTTTTTTTTGGTGCTATATTTTTGTCTTCAAATATACAAACTACCAATAGATTTAATTCTTAGACAAACAAATTATTATTTTTTTTATTTTTTTATAGACAAAGAGATTATACTATGAGCTTATAGTGTTTCAATATTCTTTGAACTTCTAATCCAATTTATTTTCAGGCTATTACGTTGCAGGTGGTAACGTTAGGAAGGAGAAGCAGAGGAGCTGATGGAAGCAAATGAAGATGATGATTATGGTGAGGATGATCTAAGGTGTAAAGGATGATACTCGGGTTTGCATTATCAGTCATGGAGAAGATTATGTTTAGAGGAAACAAGCAACTAAGTATGTGGCAGTGGTACTAGAAGGATAATTCATGTCATATATGCTTTATTCACTAAATAAACAATCAAAATTATTAAGAGTATTGGTGTCTTCTTGGAGATGAAATTTATTACATATAATTAATTAAGAATCTTTTCTAACATACAATTACAAGTATATGATTTCTATTTTAAAATTCAGGAATTTAGTAATTTTTTTTTGGAAAATCTTATTTACTTCAATTCAAATTTAAAATGTAATAATTCTTTTGATATTAGTTTATCGTTAACTAACTTAAACAATCAATCCTTATGTACCGGGCGTAACCCGGGCTAACCCCTAGTTACTCTAAAACCTAAGAAACCAAGAAAGATGATGGAGAGGCTTGAGGGACTTACGAAGGATAACGACCGCAAGATTTGTCAATTGTCATGTTGCATCAGCCCTTCTTTACCTTTGGCAACAAAGGATCAGAGAACAAGAAAGTAAAGAATCTGTGACCAAGACGTTTCCTAACAACTCCCGTAAAGCTCATTAGATATGTGCAGTCAAGGCTTCATGAGATAATCTACAAATATGTGAAGATCATGGCTTGAGCAAAGAAAGTCTCTCGCGGATTTAAAAGGTTCGGAATGATAGTATTGAGAATATAAGTGTGAGGAAGAGATGAACTCATTTGTAAGCGTGGTTGAGTGTTGAGAAAGTATTCTAGTGGATTTCCGAGATGTTAATTAATTACATCATCCCGGCGAGATATAGGGTTCCACGATGGAGCCGGAACTCGTAAAATTCTTTGTGTCTTACTTTCTCTGCTTCGTTTTGTTACACATGAGAGATCGAGAGAGAAAAAAGTCAAGAACCAATCATGATGAGTGTCTCCAAAACAAACGTTCACAGATACATAGTTCAGATTAAACCTCACAAGAGGGTTAATGATGCTTTAAAATATCACAGATTTTTGGTGTGTATTGTATTTCTTAAACTACAGCATAAGTCATAAAACCAATTTATAAACTAAATCCACATATCCAATTATCCAAATGTATCTTAATGAGTTTGGAGTTATTGGTTTGGGATTTAGAAAGACTTTTAATGAGTTTAAAAGTTATGTAGAATATGTTGTTATTCAATCAAGACTTTTAAAAACTCTATTACAATTTGGTGTTATTGGTTTGAGATTTATAAAAAGTAATCTAAAATCTTTATAAATCTAGTGTTATTGGATTAAGAGTTTTATAGAATCATTAAAAGTTTTGTGTTATTCAATTAAAACAAAAGAATCTTGGATTGTTGATAAATTAAAATATTATGTTATTGGTTTAGGATTTTATATAATTTTCTTCATAAAAAAAGTCATGAAAACTCCCCCATAAAATAGAGAGATTGTGAATAGAGTCCATGATTTTGCATGTGTCAGCAATCTTTGACACCGGAATCGTCTCCGTCGCTGCTTCTCCTGTTCTCCAGCAATTTCAAGTTCCAAAATTGGGGAATGGAGGAGACAAAGACATCTGTTTATGAGATGATATGATCTGTTTGTGTTTTTTGTCTTTGTCTTGGTCATCTATTTGTCTTCGCTTAATAAACAGTTTTCTATTTGTTGGGTTTGTGTTTGATTGGTGAATGAATGGACCAAATTGCGAATATTCAAGAGGATGAAGCGGTGGACAAATAGATGGCAAAGACAAAGACAAAAAACAAGAAAACCAAAAAAGAAGAAGAAGGATAACAGAACAGACGTGTTCTGGTTCAAAGACTGAAAGGGTTATCAAAACAACCCAGAAAAATATGAAACTTTGTTGAAAAATAGTAGAGAGATATACGAAGCTACAGGAAAAAGCGGAACGTGATTTGCTGTCACGGTCTGAAAGTTATGACCAATCTACCAAGACCGAAGAACAGAGCGACGAAGATGAAGTGCACCAACTTCAAACTTTTTCTCAAGTCGACTCACAAGGAATCAGAAGCTCATATTTATACGGTTGGAAATATCTTGATCTCAAGATTTCAGAACAACTTTTAGATCTCCAAACCGAGGTCTGAATCAGAAGATATCAAATGAAGAAGATGAAGCAAAAACAAGACTATCAAGACTCAAAACCGCAAAATCGAAGAACCAAATTAGTACAACTCTCTGGTAAATAAAAACTTATTATAAAAAGAAAATCAAAAGTTTGCTCAAAGATAGCAAGCTTCGTCACAAACAATGAAACCAAACAAACCAAGATCTTTGTCACCCCTTAATCCAACACAGACAAAGAAGAGAAAAATATTTGAAAATAAAAACTTCATGATCTTCATGGTATGCTCCCTGTTCCTGTAGCTTCTGCCCACATACTAGCAGCTATTGTGTCTCTCCAATTATTAGCATATTCCCTTTGTTGAGATTGGAGAGGTCCCGTATCTCTATTTTCCTCATAATTGTTTTCTTCGTGGCTCTCATTGTTTTTTTCGTCGTTGTCACTGTATTCTTCGGGAAGAAACTCATCGGACCGACATTCTCTACGAAGAAAGTTATGTAATCCAGCACAAGCTAATACAAGTTCTGCTTGTACCTTAAAAGGAATAGGCGGTGCTGATTTGAAAATCAAAAAGCGAGATTTGAAGATACCAAAAATTCTCTCGATCACATTTCTCAAAGATGCATGACGCAAGTTGAATAACTCATTTTGATTACTAGGATCACAACCTTGACCTCTAAAGTCTTATAGATGATACTTTGTACCTCTGAACGGAGCTAAAAAATTGCGTCGATTTGCAAATCCACAATCAACTAGATAATATTTTTCTGAAATTCATATATGATAGCAATGATATTAATAGTCATATTAACAAAAGAGAGGTAACAATTTTCTGTGTAATGCATAAGTATATACCTTCAGGAACAGGTAGCTTGCTCTTACTTCTCGTTAAAGTTTGGACAAGATTTTGGAAATATTTTGTAGGAAAAGTTTGGAAAAGTCATCAAGAGTATACAAGATTATGGAAAAAAGTTTTAAAGACTTTACAAGATTTTGGAAAATAAATCATCAAGATAATATAAAACTTTTTAACAATCTTTTAAAATCCTTTATTATCAAGTCACTAAAAGTCTTTCTAAATCCCAAACCAATAACACCCCCTTAGAAAACGGATAATATAAACACAATTAGCTAGACAAACCAATACATAACCATTTTGTATCTATAGCATATACAGTATAGATAATTTTCTATTGCTAACAATAGCGGATATCTTCCTTTAAAGGATTCTCTTATTGGTTAAAATAATTATTTCGCCAAGATTTTCTCTTTATAAGTTTTGTAACAAAAAGAAATGCACTTGGGGTTATTGAACGTAAGAATGCTATTCATTTTAACCTTTTTAAGAATTATATATAAATCTTGTGCTATTTAGTTATGTATTCGATAGTTTTTTAAATCTATTGTTTTTCAATTATTGATTTTAAAATTTTATTAAATGTTAATGCATGTTATTCAATATTAGGCTAATTTTGATGACAATGTTATTTAATTAGAACCTTAATAGAAAATTGGCTGTAAAATATGTGAAGAACCAAATCCCACCTTTTATGGTGTCAATATTTACTTGGATAAAATTTATTAAAAACTTTCAGATACTTAAAAATCTATCATTTTTGTTTGTTCTTATGAATTCTTCTAATTAAATTCAATATTTGAGTACCCCTTTCTTACATATGAAGTAATTAAATTCTGACAAAAACAAAAAATTAGAAGATTATATGAACTTGTCACATTTCACATTTCTATTGGTCAAGTGATTTGTGCTTTATCTTATAAAAGATTTATTTCCTTGTTTTTAGCTTATGTAAGTAAAATTTGGACATAAAAGTGAAAAAAAAAAACAGATTGAGAAAACAAACTGGGAACAAGATTTACATTGACAATCCCAAACTCTCCCTATCAAAACGCGTTAGATCTTTCGTGAACTTTTCACTTTTCACCGATTTGAAGTTATGGCTTCAATCAGTGACATTCCAGATGAACTGTTGTTGAATACACTTTCTTCGCTTCCAAGTAAAGAAGTGGTAGCCACGAGTGTCTTGTCAAAACGTTGGCGATCTCTTTGGACGGAGGTGAAAACATTCAGGTATGATGGTGAATCCATAGGTAGAACTTACTGGAAGTTTTTGCTATTTATTAGTAAAAGATCAAGCGTTGAGACCATGCAGCTCAAGCTGAATCCTCATTGTACACATAGAGACATCAAACCTTTGATTAACATTGCAGTTGCTCGATCCTTGAGAGAGCTGAGAATTGAGATGATTTGTGAGTCCTTCGAGTTGCCCAAAAGCTTTTACATGTTTTCACAACTTGAAACTGTTATACTCGAGAAAGTAAGTTTGAAGGATGTTCCACGTAATGCTCATTTGCCTTGCCTCAAACGTCTCCACTTTTTATCGGTCAAGTTCACGGGGGACGAATCTGTGAAAAAACTTCTAAGCATATGCCCCATTCTTGAAGAGTTGGTAGTGAAACGAAACTCCCTTACCAATGTAATGATATTTACTATCGATGTGCCTTTGCTGAGAAATCGCGGCCTGAAGGTGTTCATGGATTTGTGATAAATGCCCCTTCTTTGAGATGCTTTAGCATTAGGGACAGCTTTAGCAACTATTTACAGTTTGAAAACATGCCCCAGCTGGTCAAGGCGAGAGTCAACGTTGTTTGTGATGAACCTGACAAGTTTCTAGGATCTCTTGCCTCAACCCAATATCTTTCTTTGTGTTGTGTCACTTCAGAGGTACAAACTTTTTTGGTTGTTTGTCAAGTATCTAACATTTTCTAATTGAATTCTTACTATCTATGTTTTGCTTCATTTGCAGACTCCGGATTCGTATCCTCCTACTCCTACTGGGACTTCTTTCGTATATCTTGACCATCTAGAGCTATGTTTATGTTCTACGGAGTGGTGGAACTTACTGACCTGTATACTCGATGATGCTCCGAAACTTCGAGTTCTCAAGCTCAAATTGGTATGTGGTTCCTCCTTAGAATCCCCTGTCGCCCTTTTGTGTATTGTGTTTCCACTTTCTTCAAGACCTATAACACTAACAGAATGTATATTTTCTTTGTTCTGTAGTATCGAAAACATTGTGTCCGGTACAACGAGGCCATTGATCAATGGAACCAACCAGATTATGTTCCCATGTGTTTATCATCATATCTTGAGATCTTTGAGTGGAGGCAATACAACGGTGAAGAGCAAGAGAGAGAAGTTGCAAAGTACATTCTAGCAAACGCGAGTCGTCTAAAGAAGGCGACATTCTACTCAGAATCTGGAGAGAAGCATGGGATATTGAAAGAGTTAGAATATATGGCCAGAGGTTCAACGACATGCAAGCTTGTGTTTGATTAAACGCTTGTGTTATCAACAATTATAAAGAGAATAATATGCATCTTTCATTGATTCAAAAAAAGACTTTTACTTTTAGTTTGAGTCTACTCTGGTTTATTAATTAACAAATTTCTCGTTTACTTCTCGATGCCTTGTTGCAAATACTGAATCAAGTCGTATCCATCATTAGTCTATTTGTTATAAGCATTGGTACAGACATGAATTATAAACATAGCTCTATGGCTCGTGAAGTCACCACCCTTTTGGTGTTGAAGAATAAAGAAGATGAGATATCTCAGACTCTTGAAGCGGTAGAGATTAAGAAAACAATCAAACTTTCAGAGTAGAATACGAAAGAAGATAAGAGATCATTGACTAGTGAAACAGAGAAGATTAAGAAAGAAACAAGGAACTATTTTTTGGCGTTGAAACACAGAGAGGATCATAAATCTGAGACTTGTGGCGAGAAATATTTTAAGAAAGAGAAGACCGATCTAAAGCCCTTCAACTTGAAGAGAATTCCGTTTTGCTTTGGAGGATGATATGACTAAGAAGCCACGTGAAGATGTTACCTACGTACTAAGTTTCGGTTCATTGATAAAGAAGACAATTAAAACAGAAAAGGAGCTGTATAACAAGAAAGTTGATGAGATGGTAAAACAGTTTGTAGCTGCAAATAAAGCTGTTGATGTGGCCAACACTAAGGGCGTTCTCTCTGGTAAACGAGAGGTGTCTCGTTGCATTGACGCTCTCTTGTTACTGATGAAAATCAATATTACCCCAAAACCAAAAGAACCAAGGAGGATGATGGATAAGCTTGAGGGATTTACAAAACATAAAGACCGCAAGATTTGCCATGTTGCATCAGCCCTTCTTCACTTTTGGAGACAGAGAATCAGAGAACAAGAACGTAAAGATTCTGGACCAAGACGTTTACTAACAACACTTGTAAAGCTCATTAGATATTTTTGGTCAAGGCTTCATTAGAGAATCTACAAATATGTGAAGATCATGGCTTGAACAAAGAAAGTCTCTAAAGAGAACTTATCATTTGTATGCACGGGTGAGTGTTGACTAAGTATTCTAGTGGATTTCCAGGATGTTAACTAAATCATCCCGACGAGATGTAGGGTTCCACATTGCAACCTGAACTCGTAAAATTCTTAGTGTATTTACTTTTCTCTGCTTTGTTTTGTTACATACGAGAGATCGAGAGAAAAAGAAGTCAAGAACCAAATCATGATGAGTGTCTCCAAAACAAACATTTACAGATACATAGTTCAGATTAAACCTCACAAGAGGGTTAACGATGCTTTAAAATATCACAAATGCTATATAGATGTGTATTGTGTTTTGTTAATCTGCAACATAAGACCAATTGCAATTTATAAACTAAATTCACATATCCAAATGTATCTTAGAAAATGGATAATATAAATTCACAACTAGACAAACCAATACACAAGAGCATTTTAATTTTTATTTATATCACTAATCTAGTTCCGCTAAAATATAAGTTGTGAAATCACATTCATTGACCTGTAAAGATACGACTGAAGTGGATCAGGGCGTTTCTTAAAAAGTAGTGCTTTTTCCTCAGATAATTATCCATTGAAGCTAATTAGTTAAGGACTTGAATAGAAAGCAGAACAAGTGCAGTCCTTCTACAGTTTTACTTGAACCGCTAAAATGCTTCCCTTCACAGTAAATTATGATCCATTTTTTTATTAACAATTAAAATAACAAAAATAATAATGATCCACAAGCAGTCGAAAACAATGGGCTTGAATGGAGAGATGGGAAAAAAGCAGTTCTTCCGGTAGAGCAGATCATACGCACATTAGTCACCATTCAGCATTATATAACAATTACAAAACGTTTCATTTTAAGAAATAATATAATATTAATGTACCACTTGCAGTACAATTACTTGAGTAAAAATACACTGTACTTTGTGGATCATGTTCCATTGCAAATAAGAGGTGATCCAGGCATTTCCTCCGCCTATGAACATTTTTTAGTTTTGTTATTATAACTAGATTTTAACCCGCGGTACACCGCGGGGCTATATTTTCTTAAAAAAATCAAAATGTAATTTGTTTGATAGATTATTTTGATTGTTAATTTTAGGATTTCACCCGTGGTATACGATCTTTTATAAATATCAACCCAAACCCGTCCCATCATATTACCCGTCCCGTAAAATTAAACATTATTTAGTTATTTTTCTTTTTAATAATACTTTTCTTTAAAAGCTATATAATTCAAGTCAATTTAAAAATTTCTTTTAAATGGTTCCCATAAGATATATATACATATATATTAAATTTGTATAGAGTTGAAATAATATTAATATTACAAATTTTTTATATAATTTAAATATTATAAATATTTTTAAAAATATGTAATATATATTTTTTGTTATTGAATAAGAGGATATTATGTGTAAGAAATGTAGAAAATAAGAGTTTAATATTTTTATTATGGAGTCGCAAAAAAAATCTTTTATTTCTATACATGTTATTCATTTATTAATAATAAAAGAAAACAAATCCTTTAAATTAGATATTAACTAAAATAAACGTACCATAATTACTTATTAAGTAACAACCAATAAATTTCACCAAAAAATAGGTAACAACCAATAAATTCTAAACGCAGTAATTAAAGAATGAGATATTAAAAAAAAAAATATCAAATAAGATATAAGAATCTTAAAATAATTGAACATCTAAATAATTTAATTGTTAGTGTCGATTTTAATGCCTTCATTAATGTGGATTTTTTTTTTTTACAGAGAAATATTTCCTAAAGATTATCACATTAATAACTCAGAAAATTAAGGAAGATATGAATTTATGATTCTCGAAATCGTATTGGTAATATCTTTAAGTAATATTTTTCAAATTTAAATAATTAATGCCAATGACATTCATCCGTAAATAAGGTCTAACTCCAGGATTTATTTGCTAAAAGTCATTCAAAAATGTATATATAGATTGATAGATTATTTTGATTGTTAATTTTAGGATTTCACCCGTGGTATACGATCTTTTATAAATATCAACCCAAACCCGTCCCATCATATTACCCGTCCCGTGAAATTAAACATTATTTAGTTATTTTTCTTTTTAATAATACTTTTATTTAAAAGCTATATAATTCAAGTCAATTTAAAAATTTCTTTTAAATGGTTCCCATAAGATATATATATATACATATATATTAAATTTGTATAGAGTTGAAATAATATTAATATTACAATTTTTTTATATAATTTAAATATTATAAATATTTTTAAAAATATGTAATATATATTTTTTGTTATTGAATAAGAGGATATTATGTGTAAGAAATGTAGAAAATAAGAGTTTAATATTTTTGTTATGGAGTCGCAAAAAAAATCTTTTATTTCTATACATGTTATTCATTTATTAATAATAAAAGAAAACAAATCCTTTAAATTAGATATTAACTAAAATAAACGCACCATAATTACTTATTAAGTAACAACCAATAAATTTCACCAAAAAATAGGTAACAACCAATAAATTCTAAACGCAGTAATTAAAGAATGAGATATTAAAAAAAAATATCAAATAAGATATAAGAATCTTAAAATAATTGAACATCTAAATAATTTAATTGTTAGTGTCGATTTTAATGCCTTCATTAATGTGGATTTTTTTTTTTTTACAGAGAAATATTTCCTAAAGATTATCACATTAATGACTCAGAAAATTAAGGAAGATATGAATTTATGATTCTCGAAATCGTATTGGTAATATCTTTAAGTAATATTTTTCAAATTTAAATAATTAATGCCAATGGCATTCATCCGTAAATAAGGTCTAACTCCAGGATTTATTTGCTAAAAGTCATTCAAAAATGTATATATAGATTTTTTAGTTATTAAAATTAATATAGGTAGTTAAATTAAAATCATACTTCTCCATTGACATTATTCACTTTCTTCATTTACCAAAAGTACTTAATTTTTTATTTTCTTCTCATTCTCATAAATAACAAATATTTTTTTCTTTTTCTTTTTTCTTTTCAAAAAATAATTTTATATTGCCATTCACCATTTTCATTCAATTACAAAACAGTTTTTTTTTAAATAATAAAATATTAAATACATGTATAATAATATGTTAAACCAGTATTACAAATGTATTTTAATATAATTGTTTTTAGTATGTATATAGTTTATGTAAAAAATTTTATTTAAAAATAACGTTTTTTACAATATAAATATTTCACCCCCACTTCGTGATCCACTTTTACCATTCAACACAAATTTAAAGCGTTCGATCTGCTTGATCCGCATTTGTATCGCTAGATCTGCTTGATCCGCTTTTGTTTTGCTTTATACGCCTGATCCGCATGATCCGCTCCGTCCGATACGCTTTCTCCATTCGGAGCCAATATTTGAGATATTACTTGAAAGTCATGTTTTTTTATTTTCTTATGATAATATTTAGAGGAATTATCGCATTTATAGTTGATGGGAATAAATAAGCGACACTTACTTGAAAATTTTAAATAATCGAATATCCAAAACTAAATTTCGCCTTATTTTAGAATTTTATGTCGCTGGCACAAACATTTTTCTATTTTTTGGATGTATTTTTATGGTTAAATAAATATATCCTATATTACAAAGAATATTATCCAAAATTACTACCACTTATTAACTACAAAATAATTACTTAGTTACTATCATATTACCGCTAGTTAAAACATATGATCTTCTTCTCTTTGTTTTTTTTTTAAATGACTACAACCATATTTGTAAGTTACTAAGTTCTATAACCTCAAAAAATTTTGTTTCCACCCAAAACAGATATCAACTTTAACTGGAACCATATATGCTATTTTTATTTTGTTGGAATCAATGTTATATATGATCCAAATCTCTATACTATTTAAAGAGAAGTACAAATGAAAATGGGTCGGGTTAAAATCAGAAAATTGACCCGAAATTCTGAAATCGGATTTTTGAAATTTTTTTGGAATATAAATTCAAATTAATAATGAAAAATCGAATTAAAATCAAATATTTATGGAAATCA